GCTCAGACCGTAGAAAGTGTTCAGCATATATGCAGCCCAACATCACTCTGACCGTGACCCGTGGATTCAAGTAGGTGAACTGACACGCGGTAATCCTCCGTTAATTAATACGGACAAAGGTGACACGTGTTCGAGAAGCAGTTCTTGGAAAACCACTAATCACATCCTTCGAATGTTCCTTGAATACGTCCTTTCAGAACCACCCACCACCAACCCATTTCGACAAGAATACACCAGATCGAAAATTGAAAGGAAATATGGTAGAAGCGAAACAGTGAATAGTTCGGGTCTTGCTTTGTTTATTTTTTGCTTCACTCGTTCCTTCTTTGTCTCTATCCGTCTTACTTTCCTTGTTCGCTCCCTTTATTTCCCCCATTTTCTTTGTTAGTTCGTCTGTTTTATTCTGTTCTTGTTTCTTGTTTAGGTGTTCGTCACATTCTAGAGTAAGCGATGAATGAACACCTTATGGGCTCGTCCATGTGTGTCAGGTCTACTTCGTCTTTCATTGCACTGTTAGAACAATGACCTTGAATCACACTCGCAACAATATGAACCAATGCCATTGTTGCGATAATGACGCTGGGTTCCATTCTCTCTGACACTATTGCTGCATTTTGTTATTCCCTTAGTTGCCCTGCTGACTTCATCGCTCGTGATGTGGCGTAAAGCAGTGGTATCAACCTGAGGTACGCTTACCCCCGGGGGTACGCGAAGACATCTTATGGGGTACGTGAAATTTAAAAAAAAAAAAAAAAATATGATACACACTGAATAATCAAGGCCAGATTTAGGGTTAGCCACAGAAAAACCGGACGTAAGGACATTCGATTTGGGATCGCCATTTCTCTCTCTCTCTCTCTCGCTCTCCTTTATACGATTCTTATCTGGGTGGGATTAACGTTTTCCCTAAAACTGTTTATTTTGGATGTAGATTATGTACTATATATAACTTGAATTATGCACCAACAACTTTTGGGGGTACAAAGTTGAAGAGAAATTATATCTGGTGGCACGCGAACAAAAAAGGTTGAATACCACTGGCGTAAAGAACGCCTCTGGAATGACAGTATACTCTAAAGTGTAACCTACATTTAAAGTAATCCCCACAAATAATTACAGAAAGTGTATTTTATAAAAGAGGCACAGATATTTGGATAACATGTGGCAATGTAGGATTTTGAGGTCCTCACGGCGGTGAGTCTGAAGATGGTTGTCTTCTGGGATGTTGCGCCGTGTAGTCTTTTAGAAGTTTACCAGAGTTCCAGAGGTCCTTGCTGCCTCCATCATCAGGGCGATGCTACTCATCACCCTGATGATGGAGGCAGAAACGTCTACCAGACTACACGGCGCAACAGCCCAGAAGACAGCTACGCTACGATGTGGGAAACTCAGTGAAACCACTGTTGACCACCGGTTCAACAATAACCATCACTTACTGAACGCACTCAAAGACAACGCGGCAGCCGGCCAAAGACACAGCTTCACACTTAGGATGCCCCATAGTACAAACGTCGCACAACTGGCTAAAGAATTTTAGTTGTGGGAACGAGATATTGTGGAGGATTGGGTGAAACAAAAGAGAATCAGGTCCTCTCAACAATACAAACAGAATAACGCAAGGAGTCGTGCGAGCTGCTACTGATAATCGTGAGTTCGTGTTTTTGTTTCTTCTTTATATTTTTGTTGTTTCCAGACGACATGGGGCGAGAAGAAGAAATAAAGAGCCCGAAAAAAGAAGCTAAGTGAACAATGAAAACTACCGACATGGGATCGAGAAGTGAAGGGTCACATTTGCGAGGCAATGAAAATAGAACATCAAGTGGTTCTGATTTAAAATGAACGTGAAACAGCGTTCTAACGCCAATTGCACCCTGAAAAACATTTTCAAATAACTTTTTTCCTTTGATTTTAATTACATGCCTTATAATTACATCGGGATACTGGCTACATGGCTAGGCGACCGGAGTTCAATTCTGTGAAAAAAAACGCGGACCGGATGTCTATCCAAAAGAAATCGGTAGATCTTTCCCTGAGATTAAAGCCGTCTGTGAGTGAAGTTGTCCACTCACCCACCTTCAACTTCATCTGATACAGAGTTTAAAAAAGCGTGGAGCCTTACATCCACTGCCTTTTGGGTGTTCACAGGCTTAATTTAAGATGAACACGAAGTTCTAAATCGCGAGTTGGATCTTACAAAACGGTTGTAATTGCATTTTTTCTGAACTTCAGAAGAACCTGGGGAAAAAAATAAATTAAAATCAGGCCAGCTATACGGACTAAATGACGAGATAACTCTTCTGTGGTGTTGCGTCGTTCCAAAAATTTAAGCGTAAAAGAAAGGAATAAGACGCACGTCTTCGCTGATAATTTAAAACGAGGCTACAGGGGCCCATCTTCCATAATGGAATGAACCACTCGGACTTGAGATACTGTGTTCAAGGGCGGGGCAAGTCGGTGGACAAACCGCGCCACGGGGGGCAGGGCCTTGCCTCACCTTGGTGGGCAAGTTGCTCTAACCTTCACCTCTCAGCCAGCACTCTGCCTGGCGTCTCCTCGCCATATTTGCATTACTGTACTTCAAATCGTCTCGCGACACTTCCTTCGTCTAGCACTTAAAGAATTTTATAAAGAAAAACAGAGCTCATGGAACATGGCGCGTCCACCAAACCAAGAACAACTTACAAACCATAAAACTTCATAACACACAGACTTAACAATTACATAATCGGACCTAGCCTTAAACCATTTATGTGGTAAAGATACATTCTAGATATTGGCACTAATTTCTACTGAATGTGATTACCTTTAAAGTAACTTGTATTCTTTCCTTAACATGCATTCATTGTCGTTATAGGGAATAATTTCGTGAATTTCTGTCAATATGGCTATCAGAGTGCTTTGCATAATGAGGCTTCTTCAAGGAGATTTTATGCCCAGACACCGGAACATCACAGGCGATATCAATTTAATGCAGAGTTGATTTAGGACAAAAGGCAGGAACGTCGAGGGAAGGTGCCATTTTACTATACACACAACTAAATGAATACAAAGGTGAGCCCGCCACCGAGGGAGCGACATGTGTGATGTGTGTCTTCAGGGAAGGAACGAAGGTCAAGACCAATGAGGCTTGCAGAATTGCAAAACTAAAGAGCTATGAAAAACTGTTTACTGCAACTGAAATATTATGTGTGACAATTACGTAACTGGATTCATGTTTTAGTACAGTGACTGGCACTGATGGTAAGGTGGAACATGTTGGATAGCGTGGCTGTAAGATTCGACTCTTTTATGAAGGCTGGTACAGGAATGGATTGTAATCATGCACAGACATTTGTATGAATTACTTTTCTCCTGGGATTACAAACAAGAAATTGTTTACAGTTACGTACGACAGTTTTTACATAATTTGAGTCAGTAGGCCGCTAATTAACAAAAAAACTTAATGTAGTTAAAATATTACAGGATACATCGGAAGTTTGTAAGATACATGAGAAAAGCAGATAGAATTCTAATTCTGAGGTGGCGGACCAAGAATAATATGAAATCTTAAGATTAAAGTGCATTAAGGATATAATGAAGACTGGATTAAAC